ACTCAGGGAGGCAGTGAAGGACAGGAAGCCCTGGCGCAATATGGTTCATGGGGTCACGAAGTCGGACACGACTTAACGACTGAACAACAACAACAACAACAACAACATTTTCTGCAGAGTCTTAGAATAATGCTTTGAGATGTTTATAGGATTATTTAGATGTATCTTATTTATTTATTTAAATATATGTGCCAAGGTGATCTGGCATTTCCATGAACAGGCAGAGTTGGGGCCTTCGATTTAGTTCTGGAAGCTCAGTACTGGCCGTCACTGAAATCTGGGTGTCAGGGCTGAACCTAAGAGGACACCCAGGCTAGGGAAAAACCAGGGGAGCGCTGCGCTATCCAGGCTTCTTGGTCTGATCTGAATTAAGCTTTGCCTTCCTGCTGCCTTTCCTTCAGCTTCTCAATTTGATACTCAGCTGAACCTGCACTATATAATTGCATATATACATACACATATGCATAAACACAATTCAAAACTTCATAGCATGGAAGAGAGAAATGCATTTTAAACGATGTTTCTTTTTTTCCTAAGCTTTTTTGCACTTGATTTTTGTGAGATGGGTGGCCATATAAATGTGATAAATAAATAAATATTGCTTAAATTAGTTTAAAATTATGCTTTAATCATCAGAGGGAAGATAAGGCCTCCTGGACTGTGTTGGCCAGTGGGGTCCATGGGCGCTGGCCCCTGGGCCATTTTCAACTTAGGGGGTGATTTGCCAGGGGTGGGGGAGGTGAGTGGGACCAGGGTGCCCACCCAGGTTTTGGTTTCTGCACCAGCTGAGAGCCCCAGGTAAGGGAGGAGGAATGGCTGTTGTCATCCGTGAGTCGTTACAGACTTTCAGGGGCTCGGCTCCACAGATAACCGAATGTGAGGCATTCTGTTTGAAGTTAGGCCTAAGGGAACAGTTGGGAGTGCTACTGGTGCACTGCCCTCCCTGCTGCCCATCAGCATTCCTGCCTGAGCTGCTGGATTCCGTTGCTGATTGGCCCAAGGCTCTTGGACTTTGGGGATTTTAATCT